AAAGTTATATCCATTTTTAGCAAGAAACTGTTGTAGAATATGTGTAAAAAGTTGTCTGCTCATTTTATTGACATTCAACATCTTCATACGCAAAAGTTCTGAAATGTCTTTGTTAGGTTGCCATTTAGATTATTTAAGAGGTTTGTGTAGTATGAAAGTGGCATTACCACAGTTATTCCAGTCTGAAACTACACTTCCAACTATGCCCTTAGATATGCCTAATACCTCAGCAACCCACTTGCGTAATGAGGACTTCTGATGGCTTTCCCTTTTAAAGTTATTTCCTGAAAATTAATGATGAATATTAATTATCATCAACTTTTTATTGTTTGTTAACGGTGTTCAAATCCGTTTCATGTAAGAAAAATTTACATTTTATTAAAAAATTTTTAAGAAAAAGGTTTAATTGGATTTATATTAACTGAAAATGAATTTTCAACCTATCATTATTATAGTCATATCATATTTTTCTTAGCACAAATCTTTATCTTATTTGACAAGCTACAAATATTTTTGCACTGATCACATAATAAATTAGTTAATTATATAAATTAAATTATTAAAAATATTATATATAATATAAAGCTGACTTTTATATATATAAACAATTATTTTATAAAGAAAACTGGTAGGAAAAAATCAATTTTATCAAATATGATTTTTCGGATTAGTTTAGAATTAGCTATTAAAATTAACTCATTTTTTTTTAATAAATTTTTATTTTTTTTATTATAAAGTTTCTATATATAATTACAATTCATTTTTTATTATAATCTGATTAAATACTTTAATTAAATATTATTATTTTAATCTGATATTTGCAGAATTATCAATATTTTATTAATAAATTATCTAAATTTAATTAATTTTAAACTATATTAGAATTATGTATCTTTGAAGATAATTCTCTATTATTAAAGTAAATAGTATTAGAAAATTTTAAAGTATTATGATATTTTGATCAATTTACTAATTAAATAATTATTTTTTAAATTAATAATCAATATGTATTAGTTATTTGATAGAAGGTTATAATATTACTGAACTGCAAAGCAATTTAGATAATATTTTAACACCTTTATCAAATAATTGTATTATTCTGCAGTCAGTCACATATGATTATGCTATAAATAAATAAACTATTATTATATTATATTTTGTATAATATCAAAAATATCAATAATAATTATACAATTATAGTTTATTTATAACTTAATATAAAAATATCAATATGTTTAAAAAACCATAATTCTATTTGGCTATAGAATAAAAAATATATTTATATGACTATCAAAAATAGTATTTGCATTAATAACTATAAATGAATAAACATAATAAAGTATTTATAACACAGATGATTATCATATCTGATAAATCAACATGCCTAATATTTTTAATAATTCTAATATTTCTGATATGATTGTCATAGCAGATATAGGAGCTTTTCAATAGAAAGGAAGGAAACTCTAAAAAAATTAAATTTTTATTTTCTAAGCTAATTATATTTTTTTTGTAAAATAAGTTCAGATTTAATATTAACTCAAAAAAAATTTTTTTAGAGTTTCCTCCCTTTCTATTGCAAAGCTTCCATATAGTTAATCATAGTAGATATAATTAATAAATTAGACATATTAGATAAATATAATAAGTTAGATATGTATAATAAGTTAGTTTTATTTTTTTATGTATTTTATTTTATATAAATAGGTAGCTTTGAATTATGTAAATCAGTATGTAAAATTTATATGCATAACGTGTACATTAATTTTTTGTGTACACATATTACATAACATAAAAAATATATAAATTATTACTAAAAATAGATAAATTATATACAAAAAAAATAATTTTATATAAGAAAATGTTATAATTTTCTTATTTTAGTAATAATTAATCAACTTATGCATATAAATTTTAACTTAAATTTTATATTTTTAGTAATTTAAGATAATTAGCGATTGTATATTCTCTTTTATTTTTTTATTTTTATTTCCTTTTATTTTCTTGTTTCTTGTTATTTTTTTATTTTTATTTATTTTCTTATATTATAAATAAATGTTTTTTAAAATATAATTATTTTGTGAAATAACATATTATTAATTAGTTAAACATTTATATATAATTGAACTTCACTATAATGAATCTTTATTTTTAGAGATCACAATTTATTATAATGAGAAAATTTGATTACGTCTTATTAAATTTTAACAATTTATTTATCATACACTGATACCAAATATCATATCCAATCAGATTTCAATAATAAATATCTTAAGAAAAATGTTAATTTTAAAATATTAATAAACTATATCATCTAAAATTTTATTCTCTTTTAACAAATATTTAAACATAACAAATGAATAATAATTAAGTAAGTTTTATTAAAGACAAAAGTGTCTGAAAATTATATAAAAAATACTTATATTTTACTACTATATTCCTAACCACTATCCTTACAAACTTTGCTTTATTATATAGTTTTTCATTTGTTTTAATAAACGCATTCTTATTTATTCAAAATATCACAAATAAGCAATAACAACAAATAACAATAAACATTACATATTGTGCATATTATATAATCACATACACATTTTTTACAATTAAAATTTTGTAATTTTAAATTTATGCAGTTTTCACAGTTTTGCAATTGAAATTTTTAGCAATTTCAAATTTAAATTATAGAAATTAAATAAATTGAATCAACTAATTAATTACTATTGATTCAATACTGATTAATCTTAGGTTTGATACTAATTAATCTCAAGTTTAACACTAATTAATTTTTATAAAAATTTATTAGATACTTTTATATATTTTATTATATTTTTGTGAATATTTAAATTATTAATTTATACTTTATTAAAATTTATAATGTAACATTTCCTTTAATAGTAATACAAAAAAAATTCATTATATTCCTTAAATTTAATATAAAAATTCATTATATAAAAAAAAATTTGTTAATAAAAGTTACATTTATTATAATTGATATAGAATTTCAATTTGTTATACATAATAGTAAGTTTTATTATAAAATTGTTATATTCAATTATTTTATTTAATAAAATTTGGTACTATTCATGAAATTCACAATAATAAAAAATTCAGAATATAAAAATTTGTTATAGTGAGGTTTAACTGCATATGTCTATTTAAAATCACTATTAAATAAAGCTAATAAATGTTAAATATTATTACTTAATTAAAAAGAATCAACACTTAATACTCTGTCTAATAGTCATAATTCAAAGAATTACATATTAATGTTTGGCAATGATAATAGGATATCTTTTTCTAATTATTTAGTAATACTTTATTTACATACTTTATGAATTATTTGAAATACTTAGAAAAAAACATAAAGTAAAAAATATTATTTTTTTATAAGATTTATTATATATTATTTGTTATCTACTACCTTTATTATCTGCTTTATTATTATTTATTTGAGTTTTTTTTAAGTGAGCTAAATTTATTTTAGATATATGAAAGGTTTGTTAGGAAAATGAGGCTCTGAGAAATTTTTATTGCATTTTAATTTTTGATAATGTTAGATTAAAATGCAATAAAAATTAAATTTTTAATAAACATTTCTCAAAGCTCCATTTTCCTAGCAAACCTCCTATATGGCAATATATTAGGAAAACAATTGAAAAAATTTTAATTAACTAAAACTACTTCTATCTTTAAGTTATAACAATATTTTTATAAACAAATTTTTTAAGCAATTATTTATAATAAATAAACTTTTATATCCTTGATCAAGCCTCCTAATTAATTATCTGAATACATAATGAAACTTTTACTTTCACCTTACCTCTTCATTCAAATTTGTTTACATTAATAATTCTATTATAAAAACTTCACATCAACTTGAACCCTTATCCCAATCTCAAAATCTATTTAAAATGATTAGATCTAATAATAACTAATATTAATAACTCTTTATTCAAATTATTAGATGAAGAAAGAACTTCTTTTTAAGATAAGAAGTATAATCCTGATGATACTATTATAGTAGATACCACCTTTAGCAAAAGGAAATCTAATCAATATCTATCGAGTTAAAACTCATTATATATAATTCAGAAATAATATTTTTTTTGCTTTCTTTTGAGTATAAAGATATTATATTACATTTTGGTGTTTACTTTTTGAATATATCATTATTTCTTGTATTAATTATTTAACTATCAAATAAATTGATTTAATAATATGTACTCATTTTTAAGTAAATATTACTTTAGTTTTGATGTTATCTTTTCAGATTTTAATTCATTTTATATTATTTATAATAGCTTTTCTGCGATTTTTTCATGTTTTAATTGTGATTTACAGTAGGTCTAGTCATTTTATTAGAATTAATTTGATAAATGTTAATTTTTAAGAAGCTTGTTTTAAACTATCAAATACAAAATTTGATTATATTAAAATGCGATCTACGATTACAATACTAGCAAACTATACAAACGATTCAAGGGTAATTACAAAAACATTGTTTTTTCTAAAATTTCCCATTCATTTTTTTATACTACTGTAATTCTATATAACAAATTCGCGTCGGTTATTAAATATTTAGCGTCCCATTTAAAAAAATTGTAAAACTAACGAAATAGCGAATTATACTTACTACCTTATCAGAGTTATCAGAGCTGAGCTGACACAAAAGTCGTAACAATAAAAAAAAAAAAAAAAAAACAAAAACATCAATTGCCATATTTATCTTGAAATATAAAACATGTGGAAACATCTTTTCTCAAGATTTTAATACATTGATAATATTGATAATGCAATGTTTGTTCCTGAATCATAAGGTAATCTATAAATAGATCATACGGCAACGATTCTTTTTTCGATGAGATTGTTAATGGCATTGTCATTATTATAAAAAATTATTCAACAATAACAGTATTATTACAATTTATTTATATATTTAAGAACGTTTTGACTTCTCCATACAAAATTACAAAATTCTCTTTTTCATACTCGCTTTCAATATGGCAAGATTAACTTCAACACCAGTAAATGAGAATAATAATAATACATCAACGACCACAACGACCACTACATATCACCTTAACGCACGATTAAATTTTAATCACATTGAATCCAACCCTTTATTAAAATCTCTTTACGATCAAGTAGATTCGATGTTGCAACAACCTTCTGGTCAAGAAATTACAAAATTATTTTATGTGGTTCTTTCAGCTATCGACAAAAATTTTTCAAACCCAAATTCCCCACTCTCAATGAATTCGGAAGTCAATAATTTGAGACAATTGTTTAATACTCCAAACGATAGAATGAGACTCACTTTAACTTTCCTGAGGTTACCGCAACAATCTAGACTACAATCCAACTCATCTGACGGACCATTGGCTTCTAATTTACTTCCACCCCATCCCGAAACTTGGTCCGATACAACAATGACTCCTTTGGTTGATCAAGTAATCAAAGAAGAAGAGTTGGAAGATCTATCAAGTGCCTTTGGGAACTATCGTTAATTATTATATATATATAGGCTTTATTAAAACTACATAGTAGTTATTTGGTTACATAAAAAATATTTCGTTTTATTAGTCATCAATTTTATAATTTGCGTCTTTTATTTTTAGGGTTACCATATTTCAAATCGTGTTTATAATTATTAAACTTTAAAATACTATTTTTAGAAAGAGCCAAAAGGAAAAAAAAAGAGCGAGATTATTTGACGGACTCAGCACTTAACATTCGTCATACATCAAATGACGCATTCGCATTTCACGTGATAAATCGAAGTTCCTTTGGTCTGTAAGTGCTTGCAAGTTGCGCATCCTGTTTCCGTAATAAGATAAATTGCTGCATATTTTTTTTTGAAATGTATAATTCTTTTTTTTTTTGTTCTTTTTTTTTTCCTTTTCTCTTTTTCAAAATTTTATTTTCTATATATATATATATTTTCTTATTATTATTATTATTATTATTAAAGTATAAATAACTAAAACCAAACGTAAATTATGAGAAAATTTATTTAAATATGAATTTCAATAATCAACGAGATAAAGTTGTAATTCCAGGAAATTTGTCGGTTGAATGTTTTGAACAAGTATTGATTCATTTTAAAAATGATCCCGCAACACTTTTTAAATGTTTATTGGTTAACAGACTCTGGTGTCGTCTTTCAGTACCTTTATTATGGAGTCACCCTTTTGAATATCATGGATTTGGAGAATTTGCGGCAAATATAATTCAAATTTATATCGCATGTCTGCCAGAAGATAAAAGACAAATTTTGATTGATGAAAGCTTGCCAGTTCCTGAAACCAAATCGCCACTTTTTAATTATCCGAATTATTTACAAAGTTTTGAATCTGCTCATTTCACAGGTGCTATTATGTCATGGCTTTCTATTAGGGTTAAACCTTTCCTCGAAGAACAAGATATTAATACATATACCAACTTTGTTCAAACGATCCTTGGAAATCTTTTATTTAATAGTAGCAGAGGGATAACTGATTTAGACATCGTGCACTTTGATGAAGATGACGATTCACTTATCAAGGACATTATATCATTTGAAAAAGCGAATCAAACTTTATCTAAGCTTGAAAAATTTCAATTTGATTATTCGGGATGGTCTGAACAAGAAGATAAATCGTCTGAAATCATTTCAAATCTTTTTTATTTTATGACCAAATGCTCTCATAACATTCAACATATCTATGTAAACATCACAAATATCTCTGATCAAGATTTGGACCTTCATCAAATTGCGACAAGTATCTCAGAATTAATTCAATCCCAAAATAATTTACGTGATCTCGTAATGTTAGAATTCTGGTCCCCTACAGCTTCAGCAACAATTTTTAACGCATTACCAGTTCAAGCACATTCTTTAACATTTTTAAGACTTCATGACCTACATCAGTATCAATATCTTTTATTATTACCAATCCTACCAATTCTAACAAAATTAGAAACCTTACAATTTATTAGTTTTCAACCTATTTATGAAGAACCAGAACCTATCAAGTATATAGAACTACAACCTATTCACCTTAAGCATCTACATTATCAAGAAGAAAGATCAAGGGTGGAAGGATCAGCGCTTTTAGAACCAATCCTTCGAATGGCAAATATGAACCTGAGGACGTTATCGTTGGTTTCTGTCACACCTGAAACCATCGAGATAATTGGACAAAATTGTCCTAATCTTACACATTTATCTTTATCGTTAACAACATCGGAAATCCCTGTTTCATTATTTGGTTTATTAACATCAACAAAATATCTTCGACATTTTTCCATTTACATTTATTCATCGGAATTCCCATTTGCCACAACTGAGAATTTACAACAGTTCGCAATATCATTTCCAAAATCCCTTTTATACTTTGGATTCTATTTGTCAATTACTCCATATATTTTGGATTTCTTTTTAAAAGCATGTCCAGCCGCATTTCAGGCTTTAGCCGTGTATAGACCAGAAATTATAGATGAAAATTTATTACAGATTCTGATAAATTATGCCAATGAGAGACAATCTTTAAAAAAATTATATTTGGATGATTTTTATTCATTTGAGGGAAGAGCCATAACTGCTGCTTTAAAAGAAGCAAAAAAGGTTATACCTTTTATTCAAAATACGATTAGTTCCAATCAACCATATTCTGGGTAAGTGGATGCGAATCATTATTTTAATGTTTATATTGATACCGAAAAAAAAGAAAATTTTCATTAACTTTTATTTTGTTTTATCTATAGTCCTGTAATGGATAATCCAAGAGATGAGGATTTGTGGGATTATGATAATATAAAACTCTAATAACTAGAAAGATCGTTTAGATATCTATATATTTATATATATATACAGTATATTCCCACCTCCTTTTTTTTTTACGTATAAACATTGCATTATTGTAAGGGTTAATATTCTTTTTTTCTTTAAAGAGCAAAAGAATTCACGTTATTTTTAGAAAATATTTATTGATTTAAGAATATTATATAGATTCCTTATCTGTAAAAAGTCACTTTTTTTTATATAATATAAATAAATATAAATATATATGTACGTATTAAACCACATTTTAAACTCAAATAAAAAAAATAGATTCATTCGAGTTGTAAATGTATATAATTTTAATTTCGCTGAACCAATCACGAATTTTTTTTTAAAAAAACTATTTATTATCATCATCACCAAAAGTAAATCATCAGTGGTATTTCATATGAAATATGAGATCATATAACATGTCATTATCAATTTAGTTAAACAATATCCAATAAAGAAAAATTATTACATATATAGTATAGTATATCTTTATACTGTATAAAAAAGGAAAAGTTAATATTAAAAAAAATGTTCGTACAACATCCGAACTAGAATATGATTGGAAGATAAATGAATTTTTTTTTTATCTAGCTGCCATGATTAAATCCTTTTCAGTAGACCAAACATTAAGAGTCGAATATGCTTTTTTAACTTGTGAAGCTTCTTCAATTATTAGAATTTTATCGTAAGGTGAATCATATTTATTACAACAATATCGTCTTTTCTTTTCTCCGAAATTCTTTTTATTATTTTTTTTTTTTTTAAAAAAAATATTTCCGCGTTAAAAAGGTTTTCGAACAAAGATAATTGATATATTCATAAAACTTACTTGATATAATTGATCTTGATTGTTAATTTCCGAAGAAAATGGTAGTTTATTCTCTCGATCTATAAGTCAAGATCAGATTTTTTATTTTTATTTTTATTTTTATTTTTTTTTTAAGAAATTCGACATGAAAAATCATAAAGAATATAAATAATAATTTCTTACCATTGCAAAATCGTTCACTAAAATTCCAAATTGAGTTCAACCATCCAAATCGTTGGAATCGTTTATTCACATTTTTAAATTCGTTTCGAGTTTTAACAAAATATATGAAAACGAAAAATGATATGACTAAAAAGAGACCCAACACTGTAATTATAAGCAAAGATAATATCATTTTTACGTGTATATATGAAAGATGATTCACTTTTTACGTATGAAAATTTTTTTCTTACAAATTTTGTAACAAATGATTTAAATGATTTACTACCGATATTTATTTAAAAAAGTAAAAAAAAATCGGTTTTATTTATTATGATTTAACGTGTACATTTTTGTGAGCGTTTTTCGTAAAGCCAGAAGGTGGCTTAACGTTCGTCTAAGGCTTCATTCATGGCTTGGTTATGGCTGAAAAAAAAGGCTTGGAAAATCGATCTTTATTAATCACCGGCTAATATAGGATTTTCTTCCTCTATCATAGATTTATCAAACATATTTTGCGGAACAAGAAAGTCTCATGATTCACTAATAAACCATTGCAACTTTTGTTCGAGTAAACAAAACATCAAAGTTGAATTGGAAACGATCAGAGACGGATTATTCAACCGTGAAAGCCTCATAATAATGGATAATGGCATGAAACACGTGAGACACTTGGGAGTTAACAACGAAATTTTGCAAAATCATCACCCGTTTTTTGAACATATCGAACTTAGTCACGTGATAACCTGTATGTATTCATTTGATGATCTTGGGTAAATTTTTTTCTTTGTTGTTGTAACAATGACATGCATTTATGCTAGCTTCAAAATAACGTTATCACATGCTTATGCTAATTTCTTAATTCACAGAATCGAAATCCTCACTTGTTCCAACGCGAAATAGATTTAACCAAAGTCGTCAGTGTATGGATTGTATGGATTGTATGGATTTTGAGACGCCATGTTAACGAAGCACAGGATACACATGAATAAAAAAAAAAGAATTGATCGTCAGTAGATGGGCCAAATATATATCGGATTAGAGAATCGTCTTTTGGTTTCCAAATTTTTCATTGATTCGAATTATTAATATGCAATAATTAATAATTAAGGCGTAAAAGTACTCTTTAATAATTAGATCATCTTATTACACTAGTTATTAAAAAAATATTTTTTTTTCAACATTTTATTTTTTTCTTATTGATTGCGTATCATCTAATAATGTTCGTGTTTTATGGATTATTGGTTCCCGAAATAGTAGATCTATGATCTAGCTGATAAGGACGATAAATGAACCGCAGCCGTCCAATGATAAGTGGCGCCTTTTCGATTATTTGCTACACAATCCTTTACAAAGACACCACGCGACCCCCTATTGTATAAACAAAAGGGTAATTAACCAATGATATATTATTTGCATTTCGAAAAACGAAAGAAAAATTCGTGATACGAAAATGAAACGCGCTTACTTTTTTTTTTATATATATTTTCCTCCATGATGATTATGGTATTTTGCCCGTTTATTTACAGTGGTTGAATGACGAAATGATTTACCAAAACGCCGTTACCGAAAATCTTCTGTAAATTAAGAATGGCCAGCATGTTGTATCATGCCAGATTTAGTTAGTTTAAGGAACTGACGCAAAGGGTTCCGGTTTAAAGTTGAACTATAAATACCAAACTCGAATATTTTTTCCTCGAGAATTCATTTTCAAATATTTCTTTTCAAAAAAAGGAAAAAAAAAAAAAAAGAATTCATTATGTGGATATCTGCTAAATTATTATATGTTATTCCAATTTTGTTCCTTTTGTCTTTATTCGGATCCCCTTTCTTTGACTCGGAAACAATCCCATTACCCTTACCTAAACTTCATGGAAAATTTCTTCATATAACGGATTTTCATCCAGATCCCCATTACGTTTCTAATGTTACCGCAAGATCTAGATGCCATGAACACTTTAAAAGTACAAAAAAACCCAAGCATATGAAAAGAGGTATATCCGGTCCTTGGGGAGCTCCCGCAACTGTTTGTGATTCTCCCATGAGTCTGATTGATGCAACGTTTGAATGGTTGGAAAAAAATTGGAAGAATAAACTTGATTTTATTGTATGGACAGGAGATAACGCAAGGTATGAATGAATGTTTTTATGATGAAAATCTGCCAAAATGCTAGTCATCATCATGATTTTAAAAAAAATTATACTTCATGTAAAATTTAGGCATGATAACGATGATATTATACCGCGAACTCCGGAGGAAATGTTTCGATTAAATCGAATGATAACCGAGAAATTTCTAGAAACTTTTGGAGATCCTCAACTTCGTAGTAGAAAGAAAGCACCACATTTCATCCCTATCGTACCCTCTATAGGGAACAATGATATTCATCCTAATAATATCGTACTTCCAGGTCCAAATGATCTTCTTACAACTCTTCATGATATATGGTATCCTTTTATTCCCCAAAAACAGCACAAAACCTTTCTTAAGGGTGGATATTTTTACACAGAAGTCATCCCCGGTAAACTCATTGTTGTCTCGATAAATACATTATATTTTTACAAGGCCAATACGGCCGTTAATGGATGCAAAGCCAAGGATCAACCTGGCACGATTCATTTGAGGTGGCTAAATGATGTTTTGAGAATGGCTAACAAACGTGGATTGAAGGTTTATTTAACGGGTCATGTGGCACCAAGGGCTAAACAATATACAAAGTCATGTTATAGGAAATATGGACGATTATCAATAAAGTATCACGATATTATACTAGGACACTTTTACGGACATTCCAATATGGACCATTTCTTCTTTTTAAGCGACAGACGAAAGAAATTTCATCCCATAAATACTACAAATGACGATAATATTTCGTCGATGGATGTTGAAAATGACGATTATTATGATGATGATGATGATGAGGAGGAGGAGGAGGAGGAGGAGGAAGAAGAAGAAGAGGAAGAAGAAATAAATTATGAAGATTATAATGAAATTTATGATAATGACGTGGATGTACTTGAAGAACGAGAAGGATTAAACATTTCGCAAGAGGATCAAGGAGCAGTTGAGACAAAAGTTTATAATATTGATAAATACATGAATAAACTTCTCAAACATTATCGTAAAATTCCACTTACTAGAGAAGTAGAGAAAGAATACGCTGTTATCAATATTAATCCGTCAGTAATTCCTACATTCTTCCCTGCTTTAAGAATATTTGATTATAATATAACCGAGCTAGCAAATGAAGATCATGAAGTCAATTCAACGAAAAAATCTAAAAAAGATTCCCCTTCACAAGTGAACACTTTTTTGACGCCCTTGGGTTATACACAATATTTCATAAATCTCACTCATGCGAATTTGTATCCAAACATTACACCAGAATACATAATCGAATATACGACCTGGAATGAATATCACATGAATGATTTAACAGTTCCAAGTTGGATTCAACTAGCACGAAGAATTGTAAATCGTGGATTCAGGAGCAGTTTATGGAAAAAGTTTCAAGAACATTTAATGGTAGGAACAAGGTCTCTGATTAGACAAAAAAACAAGAGAAGTTATCGAAATTCAGATTCAGATGATCGCGTCAAAGGTCCAGAAGACTATATAGTTTCGGAACTTTCATTTTAATATCTAATTTTATTTATTTATTTATTTATTTATTTTTTCATTTTTCATCATAAATTTTTATACCTTCATAAATAGCGAGTCGTTAAATTTGTAAATTTTAATTAATCATAAACACATTGCATTTTCATTAGAAATTTATACAATGTAGAAAGTATCAATATACAGTATATAATAATATTTCTTATTTAATAGAATAAAGGACGCGTAACGCGTGAATCAAACTTGTATTTATAATTAAAAGGTTAAAATAAGTAGTTTTTATAGAATTAAAATTTAGAAACTTAACAATAAATTATTTTAAATCTTTAAACTTTAATAGTCAATATTTTTAAAGAAAAGAAAACAATTAATATACTGTACACATAAACATGCATATATATCGCGTGCAATTCTCCCTATTTTTTTTATTTTATAAATTAAAAAACTTTGTTGTGCATACAGCGATCTTAAGATGATCAATAAAAGTTTCTGATAATTTTGCAAATGCGGATAAATCCAGAATTTTTGAATATTGCATCTTTGACGGGTGTAGTATTGTGCTATATGCCTTTTATACCCTGAACGAATCCATCATTTCCACGAACCTGATTGGTTCCTTCCTTCCAAATATTCAATTCCTCAAATGAAAGTGTGTTGGATCAATTTGTCAATCTCCTCTTTTCGAAAAAGTCACCCATGGCATTGGTTTTTGCATCAAAAAGAGTTTCAATTTTTTAACTCCACCCTTACTATCTTTAAAATGAACTAATACTAAAACGGATAAGATTGTTTATGTAACATTCCGAGTTTTAGAAAATTATCTATAAATAATACACACGAACATGGTTTTCTAAACTTGCTCGTGTTGAACTTTCCTTTTACTATTCCTGAAGAGATAAAGCAGAAAAAGTTTGGTGGGACGAATTATACAATTCAATAACTTTTAAAATGATATACAACATTTAAGGTTAAGTGATTGTTGTGATTCTTATCATACAATTTACATCTTGATTCATTGTGACCGTCGTGGTTTGATTTGATGCATATGTTGTTTATTTCGTATGGATCATCATTTTTTTCAGGTAAAGCTGTTAGCATTGTTGATATATTTATGGGTTTTTATCATTATCATTCCTTCCCAGTTCTTTTTTTAATTATTTATTCCCTTTTAATCATTATCGAATTTAAATACTTCTTTTTTTCTTTCTTATGACCAATTTTTTTTTTTAATAAAAGAATTTTCTTTTAACCTTCTTCTTCCTTTCCCTTTTTTTTTTTTAAAAAAAAAAAATAATTAATTGAATTGTTATTACCATAATCATCATCATAATTTATTAAAATATGCAATCTAGACAAACTTGGAAGATTAAAATTCTTGGAGTTTTGAGATTTTTTGGTTATTCAAAGAAAGGTTAACCCATTTTATAATAAATATGAAATCATGTAATTTTTAATTACTTTTATTTCTTTATTTTTATTTCTTTTCTTTAATTATTGCTTCAATTCAATACGATTAGCTGCCAGAAATGAGGAACTTGAAATCCCACCTTCTACTACATACTCTGATGATTCAGATGAATCCAACTCCGATACGGAAGTGAGCATTAATTCCACTTCATCAGACTTGGCAGAAACCATTAACACTTCAAACTCGATTACATCAAAAAATTTACGAGAATGTAATGAATGCAAGAAAGTTAGATCATTCAATTGGTGCAAAACATGTGAATCAAAAGAATTTGCAAAGCATTTTTCGGATTGGAGTAGTAATAATGAATTATTAAATAAATTTATTAGGAATACGCAGTATAAAGCGTATGATCATAGATTTTATTGGGAATGGATTCCGTTTAATCAACTTTCTAATGTACAACATTTGGCTAATGATATCGTATTTACCGCTATTTGGTTGGAAGGACCAAGAAATCATTGGAACAATAAAAGCATGTTGTACGTCAGGCGTAAATGGTGTAAAGTAGTTTTAAAAAGACTTGCCCATTCACCGGATAACATCGGAAAAGAATTCATTAACGAGGTAACAAACAAACAAAAAAAACATTTTGTCATGCGCAGTACATAACTGTCATCATCATACTAATGTTTTGATTATCGTTTACTATTTATAGCTCCGAAGTTATTATGGTCGTAAAAGATCCCGTTGTGGACGAATCGTACAAATATATGGAATCACTCTAGACCCCGAGAAAAATTGTTATATGTTAGTAACTGAATATCATAATAAACGCGACATTCGAACTTCATTACAAGAAAATTATTCGGAATTAACCTGGTCAGATAAATTACGATTATTACATGATTGTGCAGAAGCTTTATTACATGTTCACTCGAGAGGTCATACTCATAAAAACTTACACTCTGGTAACCTATTATTACATTCAAAAGGAACGAATGTCTCTTTAAACTTAAGTGACCTTGGATTATATAATCATCAATCCGTCGGAGAGTTATTTGGCGTAATTCCTTATGTAGCTCCTGAGGTTTTAAACGGTTGGCCAATTACTCAAGATGCTGATATTTATGGTTTTTCTATGATAATGTTTGAGTTGGCAACCGGACTTCCTCCATTTTATGATCGCGTTCATGATCAACGGTTGATTTTTGACATTTGTGAAAGGGATTTACGTCCACGATACGATTCAGATCAAATTCCTGTATTTTATGCGAGTTTGATGCAAAAATGTTGGAGTACGGAACCTTTTAGTAGACCAAATGCCAATGAAATTCTTTTTATCATTAAAAGTTGGAATGATGTAGATTTTCCAGACATTCAATTTAAGCGCGAGAATTTTAAAATTCATCCTGATGCTATTTATAATAGTAGACCTCTTGCCGATTTAATATCACGTGAATTCGAACTTCGAGATCAATTTCGGGATGGTAAGTAAATTTAGAATTGTTTGAAATTTTTTAAAAATTTATTGATTTATTTATTTTATTTATTTTTATAGAAGCTGAATTATCTGAACAAAATGAGGTGGAAGAGTCTTCTAAAGATTCTTTCGAAGAATCCTCCGAAGATTATGAAGATGATGAACAAGAAAAGTCTGAATCGGAATCGGAATCGGAACTCGATGATGAATGTGCAACTTTTGAACAAACAGTTGAAACTAAAATCGATAAATTTCCATTCAAACTTGAATTAAATCTTGGAGAATCATCAACATCAAGTTTCGCGATACACGACGAAATAAAAAATGAACGTGATACTACTACAACGTCAAGTGATAATGATTCTTCAACTGAATCATCTTAAAATGAAAGTGTATTAAGAATTTTTTAAGCATTAGGCAAAAAAAAATCACAATAATTGTATTATAGTTGCTCTTATTAAGCCATTTGTAATTTTTTTTTTTTTTTTCTTTTGTAACACTATTAGATCACTTTACATATTATATATCTTCAATTAAAAGTTTCATTAAACGTCGTATAAACATTTATTATAATTAATAAAAAGAGCAAAATAAAGTGATAAATTTTCAAGGTTAAAAAAAAATACAAATGGGAAAAACCTTCACAAAAAATTTGGATGTTTGAAATACTCTTAGCATTACGTAATTTGCTAATGGTAAATTTCCGAATTACACATATATCATTCTTTATCAATCAATTTCGAAAGTGTGTATTCCAGCTCCAAAAATTTGTCATTATTCCTTTTTCTTGATAAAAATTTGTTTTCGACACCTCTTGTAGATAATCACACAATCAACAAACGTTCACTAATGTTAATATGTGCAATTAGAACTTTCGCCTTATAAAAAAGAAGACCTAAACGGTCATGCTGCATATCACTTTGATGAAATTAGTTCAATTTAGATCACATATTTGTTTGAATTTCTGGAACCATGGCGAAAATTAATAATTAAACAATTAAAATTTTTGTAAATTTTAATTAACAAAACGAGAAACAATTAAATTAATAATCACTCACTACAAGAAATCTATTCTTTGGAAAGGTTACCTCAAACGAATGAAGCTCTTGTATCAAAATTTAAAATTTAATCTAATATCAAAATATAAGAATGTTAATTTTGTTAAAAAAATATCCAGAACTTTAGCGATCTTCCTTGAATTTAAACGGTAAGGAAGAACTAATTTTTTTTTTTTTTTTTTTTTTTTGATATTTAAAGGTATCTTCTGACTCACCTCGATTCTATCTCTGACTAAATATCTAAGGGATGATAAAGACAAACACCGTTCAATATCGAACTCATAATAACAGAATCCGTCTTTGTAATCGAGATTATGACGCTTCATTGCAGTTTCTCATTATTGTCAAAACGCGTATTAACTTGATCATGAAAGAGAGATAGATACATTTGCTTCCGCGTATGATCATATCATAACTTGGAGGATTTATCATACTGGATATTACCGAGAAATTGAAAGTTATGAAAAATATTTAATAATAAATATAAAAACGAAAAATTATTATTTAGGATATTATAATTTTTTTTTAGTTTTGTAAATAAATTTTATAAACACCTTTTTCAAACAAGACGTGTTACGTCGGAGGTTATAAACAATGTCACGAACGTGAGTAGGAGAATTGGTATGTTCTCTCACGACAAATTCTTGGGTCCCTCAACTTAATAATTACACAATACAGACTTTTGAAATTAAATTATACGAGTTGAAAACTTGGTGAAATGAAATGAAATTTCTTACCGTCCGCACGACTGTCATTATATTTATTCCGTTCCTACTTTGCGACATGTAGTTAATGCATGAATAAAAATTAAGAGCGGGAAATTTGTGCGTTAAAAACAAACCGTTTATAATTTATATGATGATCAATTTTGTGCTGCATTGACATCAAGGAGTTCAACGGATATATAATTGCATTTCTTATAATTTTGTCTTTACGATGATTTATTTAATGGAAACAAAGTTTATTCTTTAGAATTTTGGAAAATAGTAAAATTACAATAATACATTTAGAATTTTATTTAAAATTTTGATTAAGTAGTTAAATTACAATAAGTTATAGATAGTAGCAAATTACAAGAACAAACTATTTATTACACATTTAAAGGTTATTCTTTAGAATTATGGAAATGGTGAACCATTTGAAGTTACAAAATTATCTTAATTATAAAATAGAAATTTTATGAGCTTAAGAAATGTGACAAGCTTTTGAAAAAGGCATATAAATTCCTGATGATGAAATGATGAAATGATGAAATGATGTAACCATAAAACCCCCATATCATTATGAAGAATTTTTGTCAACTATTGAACAATCCGCAAGTTACAAATGTTCTTGCAGGTGAAAAAGAATTTTCTTTCAAACCCGAACAATTCTTGCAAGAAAAGGCAAGGATAGAATTCTAAATATTACAATGTCATAAACGGTGAATGAAGGATTTCGATTTTGAAATTTTGTGCCAGAAAAAAAAAATCCTACCTCAAAAGTTCCATCTTTGAGAATTCGTGGTGACCTCCCGATTTGAATGGTGACGGATTAAATTGACGAGTTATTGAGGAATTATATGTATTTTTCGGTAATCCCAACAAATGGGTTGATAAAAAGGAAAGGTATACGATATAATTAAAGGAATTCGGTCTCCATTTCGGGGGTCGGGAATTGAAAGTCTTTTAATCGATAATGAGAACGGGTCAAGGTCAATTTACTGGTCATATTTATAACAAAGATGTCTGTCATACTTTTCTCTTTTCCTTCTTTTAATTTTGGTAATTTTTTTTTTTTTTATCCGGTTAAAACATGTTTTTATCATTATACCAATCAATCATTCCCAATACATCTTTCACATATGTCAGTAACCAGGGCACAAAATCAACTGATAAGTAACTTCATTTAAAGTTATTCCTTGGCTTGCATAGATATTGTTCTTGGATACCAGTTAAATGATTGTTCTCGACTCAAATTTACTTTAATATGGATAATCTTTTTGGTAATCTCCAAAATAAACCTTATCTATTATCTATTTTTTATTTTTTTGTTTACTCAGAATTATTTTCATGTTCTTGTATTTGCATAATCAGGATTTATTTCAACTTTTGTCATATGAAGAATAATTTTGTGAAATAGATTGCGAAATCTATCATATCATTGTTACAAAAACTTTCCCATCTACAAAATTTTATTCAATCAATACTTTGTTTTCTATTTTTAACGTGCAGAATTATCCCCTTCCAAAATACGAGTGTGAGAACTATCTTCCATTCCCACATGAATTTTGTTTATTGAATGATTCCATTATCAGTTGTATCACATCAAAATAAAATAGCCACCTCTTCTCGTGGAAACTCAAAGCTAAAAAAAAAACCTTATATATTTTTTTAGTATTCTGTTTATCTTTTGAGATCTTAAGGGGCATAAATGTCATCATATACCCAGGCTCAATGTCTCGCAAATAAAGATTTAATACTGCAATATGATCTCATGCTGATCTCTCCTAAATTTGGGATTGGACTTTCATGTTTTGCGATGATCGTAGCGGAAGAATTTTTAATAAATCATATAATTAAAATGAATTATACTTTCTTTTCAAACACACAATTAATCAAACCGCTCAAAAAATATTATAACGAGAATCAATCAAATACAAATTTCGCGCATAAAGAATCGAAAATTTCAAACATCTAAATCAACTAATTACTAACCATCACAAAATGTTTTCAATCACATTTGATAGGTACTTATTTAGAATGAAGGAATACATACACATGCAGCATATATTAGATAATCTAGGAGAAATATATTTTGGAACACTAATTTTTTTTACACTCACGGGTCTTATAAGGAATATGTGTTGCAGAAACGAAAAAAATATAATTCATCTAACAAACCATTCACATCATGAGCTATCATGAATAGTTCATTCCCAAATGATTTATGTTTAAGAAAATTTATTAAATTTATTATAAGAATACATTGTAAAATAAATTATGAAGATATAAAGGAAAATTAGAAAGATAAAATAAATTATGAAGTTATAAAGGAAATATTAGGAAGAAAATGCATCGTAAAATCTATACAATTTATAAGAGGGTTTATATTTAATAATTTATCTCAGAAAAGGATTTAAATTATTTAAATTGATATACTTACTAATTTCTCATCTCGAGTGCACCACCAGGATTCAAAATCCTGGTAATACCGAATTTTTCCAATCAGACATATGGAACGCGACAACATCGTATGAAGTCAAACGTCCCATGGCATTAGAGGCTTTATATCTGACGGAAAATTCGGTATAAATTGGGAATTGGTATACTCTGATGCCATATCAAGTATCCATTCCTAAGTTAATAAAAGATTTGGGTAAGTCGAGATAATAAGTTTGGTACAATTTTACACACGAAAACAACAACTTACCCAATTTCAAGGACTTTTTGCACCAGAGATCAGATTCCTATGTACTGACGCGGAAAAGTTACTCTACAATGAGTATTGAAAAAACATAATGATGCCAGACTAACAAAAAATAATCTAGGGTTAATACTTCTGGCAAAATATACTTGAGAATTATTCATACATACTAGATTATCGGGAGCAGGTATAAAGAAAGATAAATATAAAGAAAATTTTATTGTTTTTAAAAATAATAAAATATTATTGACGGTGGAAATAAAAATTTGTTCGACTTTTATTTTGATTTCTCTATAAGACTTATCCTTTATGACCTATTATTCTATTTTAAAGTTTATTGGTCAGCAATATGCATGCACTCGATTCTTCGATTAACGCAAATATCATTGGGCGATGTTCATCAAACAGGGGTTTCTCTTCTTATAGGATTTCATGATATGTTTGTTGTTTAAATAATCATCAAAGGAATGAAATATGCAATAAGCAAATTGGATTATTTATTTATATATGAAGTATAATCACAAGGTTCATAACATAAAGATATACCAAAAGCCGAACCGTACTACAAGAAAATGGTAACCTACAAAGAAATATGTAAGTTAAAATATTTACATCTCCTTGAATATAAAGAATAATAATAAACAAAGGGTCACTGGTTTGAACTTGATAAGTAATAGACAAAAAAGAAAGTCGTTTAATCAACTCATATAGAAATGAAAATCAGACGCGTTGTTCTTTGATTCCTTTTTAAAATTCCTTAACCATAGAATGTATCAAATTATAACTAAAATTAGTTACAAATTGAAACTTTTTCTGAAATTAAATACAATAAACATCAAATTTAATTTAAAAATATACATAAAAAGAGGCACGACAAATTATAAGTTGTGTATTGGTATCATTTCATCAATAAAAATAAATGAGAGTTGAAAAGCGATACTAAAATGACAGTGATCCTTTCTTTGACGAATGCTAAAGGATATGGCTTACAAACATTATTTCTTGCACTTTGCAGTAGAAATGGCGGAAAAATACTTTGAAAATAATGAGTTTTAGTTAGATTCAGGTAAATTTTGGTATTAGCAATGTTTTTCAATTATTAATGAATTAAATTTTAATTATTAAGGAGATGATCAGCTTCTAAAAATCGGCAAATCTATTTTTAAAGATAAATTATGCGGGTTGTCGAAACTCAACTATTTCAAAATTTAATATATCACATAATAATGAATTTATAAAACAAAAAGGGAAGAAAACCATGCTACAGTCTAGGAAGTTTGATTAAGAATTGGCAGGCAATTAGTTTAGAGAGCAATACATTATCAATTGATGCTTCCCCGATTGTTTACTTATTAATAAATTTTATTAAGAAGTTGAAATTTTCATTTTTAGGATTGTAACATAAAAACTTGATTTTTTGTTTATAATCTAAGTTAATAAATAAATAATATAACCCATTTTTTTTAAAAAAATTAATTAAATTACAATATGTAATGACTTTAATATTTTCTTGCTTTAATAATAATGGTGAGACTCCATGAAAGTCGAAGGTTTGGCCACAGTCAAGAAAGCGCTGTAAGGAAGCTCTCTGACATCTAATGTCAAATTAGCTGATTTAGGTTGTTATATCTGAGACATACATTATATATAAACCACTTTTTAAGCGCGGCCAAGATGAACCACCAAACCATTAAGTTTATATATATTACATTTTTCTTATACATCCTCGCGATATTATTTTGTTATAAATTTATCACTTAGGTAAGGAAAAAATGTTTTAATATTATTTTTCTGAATTTTTTTATTTTTTTGCAAATTTCGTAGAAATTTCAGAACGTATTTTGAATATTTTTGTAAATCGCGAAACTTTCGTTTGTTCTTCCAATGACTTTAGAATGTAATTTAAAACATTAGTCAATGACAATCTCCTCTCGTAGTATAGTTGTTCAGCGGATAAGAAACTACTTGCAAATAAATTTTCATCATGATTAGATTAATACTTGCAGAAGTATGCATATATTTAGGTATTAGATAATTATATAAAACTTATAAATAATAAAGATTTTACTGAAATTTTTTTAATTTGACCAACAAATATTTATTTCGTAAATTTAATCAATTAATTTGAATAGCATTCATTTCATCGATAAATATAATGCTTAAAATATAGAATGCTTCCAATGAAACATTTCCCTGCCGATAAAATGATCATCAGAACGTTTGATATTTTGAATATCGGTATCGGTATCGGTATCGGTATCGGTATGATCGGTATGGATCTTGATAATTGTTTTTTAATCGGTATGATTTTTGATAGACATCTAAATTTTGTAAAATTAAGATTTAACTAATCAAATGTTTTTAAATTCAGTTTGTAAAAAAATGCTTTAGAACCTTTAAAACAATGTTTCGGGAGATATATGTTATTGAAATACGAATCAATACGAGAGATTGAGCCCGTTGTTATCCGTTCAACCTTAAAAAGCCAATTGCAATAATAAAATTGCTAGTATCATAAATCATCGACTAATCCTAAAAATAAATTACTTACATCTTGACCTTACTATATTAGGTAGATCATTGTTTTAATATGAATCGACATAAATTTTCGTATCAAAAACAACTAGCTAAAAATAGTCAAATTTTATGCTGAGGGATGTTTTACTATTCCGCCACAAATCAAAAATCAAATGCAAGGTAACAGCGAACGAAGCCTTTGTTCTCGAATAAAAAATTTGTTTTAAAACCACCAGATTTTTACAGCTTTTTGCTCAAAAAAAAAAAAAATTCCACTTTTTCACTAAAAATCATCAAAGTCTTTAATTATTATTAAAATTATAAAATGATCAATAACTTCTATAATATATCTTATAATCAATATACTGAAACTTGTTATTTTAACAAAAATAAAACCGATATTTTTTTAAAAAAAATACTGAATCACCATTGTGTGGATTCAAATTCAAAACGTTTGGACTTTTATAAAAAAGCATCCAAATAAGACTGATGTTCTTAACTCGTTTTAGGAGAAAACCAGTTTCAATTCCAAGACAATCAATCTCTAGAAAGCGAAAAGCTGTTGGTCTTGGAGTTTATATAATATAAACATTAATATTTTTTTGTTCTTTAGTATAAATTAAAATTTAGACTTCTTTTTTAAAAAAAGCAAAGATAGGGAAGACGGTTACGACTTCCTTAACATTTACTTTTTATTTTTAGTTGGAAAAAGGTTAATAGAAATTGGGGCTATAAATTAAGAAGTAATATACAAATTATAAGGATCACTTGCTGCTACGACAAGGTGAAATGGTATTGTCAAAAAATGGATTATAATATATCGGGGTTTATTATTTTTATCATATTTTTCATATTTTTTTTCAGATTTATTGTATATATTCTGACCGTGTTTATTACCAAATAAAAAAATTTATATCCTATTCTTAAATCATCATTTTTATAAATAATCTAATGATGTTCTGTAATAATTAAACAAACAAAATTGAAAGGTTTGATGTGAATGCAAACCTAAGGCAAGTTTTAGCGTCCAGAGTACCAAGCACATTTGCTCCTAATCTAGGATTTAGATAAACCAAAAAATGTATATAAGCAATTGCATATATACAAGTAACATCATTATGAACAACGTTAAAACCCGAGTCTTCTTTCAAAAATTAATCTTGTCGCTTAAATAGAATGTCCACCAATTTCAAAGAAACTTTCATTAAACAGTATATGATTGAACCCCAATCAGTCTAGCGTTTTACTAAGGAGAATGATTAATAAATATAAAATATTTGTTAAATTGGTTAGTTATCCTAAATTACATTTGATCGGATAATTTTCTAGTCCTTAGCCCATACAAATTTTATCTGGAGACTATAAAACACGTGAATCCTACTAACTTTTCTAAATTTGATCTAGTAAGAAAATGTTGTTATAATAAGCTTAAATCTTTTCTTTTGTATAATTTTGTTTGGTAATTTAGTAATTTGAAGTTATATTATTTTCCATATTGGTAAGAAAATATTATGTTTAATATGCCAAACGTTATTGTTTATTAATCAAAGGATCCGGCACTCAGAAACATTTAAATGAAGATGTTCAGCAACCAATCACGACGTTCAACAAACACGTCCAAATATTCAAACACGTCAGGAGTCCAAAGGAAGCACGTCAAGATCTTCACGCACTTCCAAATCTTCAGACACATTGACCAAATCTTCAAGCACGTCAAAATATTCAAGAACTTTCATATGTTCACATAAATCCAAATGCTCAGCCAAATATTCAAGGACGTTCATATGTTTACGTACATCCAAATGTTCAGCCAAATGTTCAGGCACGTACAAATA